AGATTTAAAGCAGCTTTATCGCAGCGCTGCGTCCGACAGGCGCATCCCCAGGAGCGCATCCCTGGGCTGTGTGTGCCCGTGCCAGGATGGGGGAGTTGACGGCAGGCGCCCCTGTGAAGGTCAGTCCCGCGGGGCGGCTCTGTCGCTCCGGGTGTTCGGCACAGCAGCCCAGGAGGATTCGTGTGTCGCGCGGGCGGGTTTGCAGGGCACGCTGCCCTCGGCTCTGCTCGGCGCCACGGTTGGGACTTGCTGTATCTTTCCATTAAAGCGCTTGGTTCGGGTGAATGGCCTCAGCACCCGGGAATATGCCGTGTGGAGGATTAGGAATCCGCTGGTTTTGAATGCCAGGTTTCTAAAATGCATTTCTAGTCTGAGAACCCAGCCTACAAATTACCTGCTGTCCTGCCTGCCTCTCGGCACGCACGTGGTCGGCATCTCGCCGGGGTGGGAAGGCTCTGTGATGAGGAGGCTGTTTAGGTTGGACTTGGGCAGCTCCAGGATGAAGGGAGTGTAGGGTGGTCACTCCTGCGTGTCCTGCCGGGTGGGCAGAGCTCCGAATAGCAGCTGCTGCCGTTCCCTGTGTTCGGAGCTCAGGAGGAGCGAAGCAAAGGGATAAAGGCTCTTAGCCGCTGAAGGTCAGGGTAAGAGATCGGGGCAGAAAACCACTTTCCTACATCCGTGTTGTGGGCACCAGATGCTCAGCAATGTCCCCTGACAATGTCAGGAGGTCTTTAGATTGAGAACTTGTCTGCTCTGTCCCATTTGTGTTAACTGGGCTAGTAAACTAAGGCAGAGAAGTTCGCCCTCATCATGGCTGTTCCCGAATTCCCCTTGATGTTGCTGCTTGAGTCGTCTGCCTGCAGTAGGGCAGCAGTCGTGTTCATAAGGTCTTCTGAGAACACGTTCAGGAAGCACAGGGAGGGAAGAGAGAGACTGAACCTGTTGAAAGTGGGAGTTTGTTTCCCATGGGAAACAAAGGGGAGTTGGGATAGAGCATGTAATGCGTTTGCCSAATTTCTGGTGCAATCTGGATGTGCTTTTTGATGGTAAAATCTTTGCTGTTCTGCTGTTAAGCGACCAGCAGGTACTCTGTCTTTCCCAGAGATCGCTGTTCAGCTTAGCTGGGAGGTGATCACAGAGTGACTTGAGTCTGTATTAGGAACACACAAGACACAAACCTTAGCAGAGTTTTCAGACCAACAAAGATATAAAAAGCACAAGTAGCTTAAAGTTAGAAGCAAAGTGAGTTCAGGAGAGAAGTAGGCACACGTTTCAGTGAAGCAGTTAGTTAACTGAGGGTGCTGTTTGCAAAAGCTGAGGTAAATTCTGTGTTCTCATCAGTTCAGGAATGGAGCTTAGGAAAACAATCCAAAGAGCTTCTTTATTCCTAAGAGAAATTAATTTGACTTTATCCTGAAGGTCAGAACAGATGATCCTAGTTAGTCCYACCTGGCCTGAAGATGTCTTTGAGGTATTTCGTAGAAGCAGTGCATCCGGTCTGAACAGGTATCCTCCAGTTGCAAATCCATATAAAGAAATGAAAACCAGGAGAGAAAACCTGGACCCTTTTGGATTTATAGACCTTTTCTGCAAACGGAAACATTGGATAAGTGACTGATTCATTTTAGCAGTTCCATATATCAAAATTGCCATCCTATTACTGCTGTTTTTTAATCTTATAAGGAAACAAGCTCCAAATACTGGCATAAAAGAGAGACGTCTCTGGATTTTTTTTCCCCCATCTCCTTTCTGTGAATAGAAGTGTAGAATAACAGTAAAGCCAAGCCCAGAGAACAGATGTTCTGCAAACAGCCCACTCAAAACATGGGAGACAAGCACCGAATGGCAGCCTGTTAGCTCTCAYGGAGCTTTCCCTGCTATGTCAGAGATGGATTGGGATTATGTTGTGTAGAAGAACACCTGTCTTTTCACAGTTTTCCTAAGTTTCTGCTTAATAAGAAGAGCAGAGAAGAGAAATAGAAGAATTCTTTTTCTTATTTGAATGTATAGCTAATGCTTTACACTCTAATACTCTAAAAACAGCAGTGAAGTATCTCTTTGAGATGAGACGAATGCAAATGCATATGGGAACTTCACTCTCTTTATGGAATACCAAATTAAGTAGGAGATGTGTTTCCCTCCAAGACTTCACAAGGGATACGTATTTTGATGATGCATCTTGCAGTGTCTTCAGGGCTGCTGAGACATATTAAAAGCAACATATTTTGTTGTGAAGCAGACGCTCCTGTAAGAATACAAATGCTCCCCAATGTGTTCTTCCCTGTGAGGGTGCCAGAGCCCTGGCACAGGCTGCCCAGGGAGGCTTGGAGTCTCCTTCTCTGGAGATCTTCCCAACCCGCCTGGATGCCGCCCTGTGCCCCGTGCTCTGGGTGTCCCTGCTGGAGCAGGGGGTGGGACTGGATGATCTCTAGAGGCCCCTTCCAACCTCAGCCATTCTGTGTGATGTGTGAATAACCATCAGCYGAGTTGCTCTGAACATGGTACCACCGATTCCATGAGGCTGGTTCCCAGATCTTGCCAGACGCAGCCCTGGAAACCRGGAAGCCTCCGGGCTGAGTTTCACGGAGAGGGCTGACGTTTCCACCTCCTTAGCTTGTCCAGGGGTCCCTCTCCGCTGGGCTCCCAAGCAGAGCCTGGCAGCTCCCAAAAGGAAGGAGAAGGAGGAGCTGCCCTCGCTCTGCGGCGCGTTGTGTTCGGACACACGCGGGAGGCTCCCGTGGCTCCCCGGCTGACGTGMTCCGGCGGCGCGGATCCCCTTGCACGGCGAGACAAAGCTCCTGTGGTTCTCCTGGGGAATAACCGGCTGGCTTCTGTTGTGGCAGATGCTCTGGGCRCCCGGCAAACAATGGGGCATAATTTAATAGAATTTCTAATGCAAGTAGCACTCTTGCCTCAGCCTGCAGGCTCAAATTCAGTCRCTGGTGGGAGGAGAAAAAGCTGCTTTGGGGCTAAAAATTTTCAGGACGTTTTGTTTGCGTTTGTGCAGCTGGCACATCCACAGCTGATCACTCCTGCAGATGTTGTATGCAGAACTGCAGGGCTTCTGTCTGAAAAAGGCAGTTGTTTCCCTTCGACATCCTGATCGGTTTTGTAAAAATAAAAGGAAGAGGTTGGGGAATGTTTGTGGGAGAATTGTCATGGTGTGAATGATTCCCATGAGCAATTCCTGGCTGTGACTTGTGTGTTGCAGGGTGCCAGGGCCCATTCCCAATGCACAGGAAGCATCCTCCTTACATGATTAGGTGATTAGGTGATGATGATAGGTGTCTTTTCTGTATTTGAAGAAATACTTAATATTTGTATTAAGAAATGTCAATCTTCATCTTTTGGGGGCCCGTCTTGCAGAATTTCTRTGGTGAAAGAACAAGAATATTTTTGCTTTTCACTTTGCTCTTGACAGCAGAATTCCTCCTTGCAGTTTTCCAGAGAGGCTGCAAAGGGTATGTTGTCCTCAGCACCAGCAGTGATGGTGATGCAGTAATTTCGCTGCTGTTGGTAATGCATTATTTGCACACAGTCTTAGGAGCTGCCTTCTTTAGGAAAAAGTGATCCTTTCACAACATGCCTAAAAATCAACACGGGATATGTAAGAAAAGAGAACAAGAACAAGACACCGAGACGCAGACCCTGAGATGCTTCTGAGCCCTCTGCTTCTCAGAAGGACAAGAGATATTTTAAAGCTTTGTCTTCCTGGCTTCTGTGACTGCATCTCCTTTTCCACCCGAAGCTGAATGTGCTCYGGTGTGTCTAGGTAGACAGGAGGGCTGCTGGGACAAGGGCACCCGGCGCAGGCACTTCAAAAATCCTCTGTTTTCCAAATAGTATCTGGGTCATATGATACTCCCAGGCATGATTCATCCACCTGGGCTTTGTGCCAGTCAGCAACTGCGTGGCCCTGACACCCCAAGAATACTGCAGAATGATTAAAGCTCTGTTTTTTTTTCCTTCAAATAATGCTGCTGATTATAGGTGGAARAAAAGGCATATAATTTTTAGTTCCTTTCTGAAGGAATTAGCTTTGTTACGTGGATGCGAGAGGTGCAGCATGGAGAGAGGAGGCTGCAGAGCAGATCCAGCTGAAGGAGCTCAGCTGGTCTTCCTCAGCTTACAGCCTTTCTTCAAGGTTGCTGTCTTGATACCAGATCCTCCTGGGAGCAGAGAAGATGTCGTTTTTATTTGAGTGTAGGTGTTGGAAGCCACGCTGGCTGTCAAGAGTTGGCTTTACTTGGTTACCATGAGCTAAAAATTGCCTGTGTTCCGCCTCCATTAAACTTTCATGTACAGATGATCATCTCTTTGTAACACAAAAACACTTAGCACAAACCTAACTTCTTTTTTTTTTTTTGGTAAAATTAATTATCAAGAAATTAGGTCATGCTTATTTTTAAGCATGCATGATGTGTGGACAGACATTCTTAATTAAAGATTCRACACATTGTGCTGAGGGAACCATGGGGCTGTGTTTTTAAGATGCCAAGGTATCTTAAAAGAGTGCAAGGCAAAAAAGAGTGTAGTAGCAGGGATGATTTTATTTTTTTTCTCACTTGTCTCTCAGTGAATAGACGGAGTAGATTCTCCTGGAACCTGCTGAGTTGCTTACACTGCGTTTCTTTGTGCTTGTAATCTTCAAAATGTAGCCCCTAGTGATTTTGAAAAGTGATTACCCACCTTTAACATCTACTGCTTAGAGTCCTGTACGAAGTAGTCTTTATAGAAGCATCATTAGAAAGCAAAGTATGAAATTTCCAGAGTGGAAATAAAGAGGCAGCCTTCTAGAGAGGTGAATAAGCGTAATCCCTGCCACCTTGTAAAGCAGTAATGTTAACTTCTGTGTAATTAAATCTGAAACAAGTATCTTCTGCCTTCCTGAGTGAGTTTTCCCAGGGAGCAGGATGAGAGGAGGAACATTTGTAAGGATGTTTTGGTTATGGTGCTCTCGCCCTAATGTGTTTTTTTTTGATGTTCTTCCTTTCTTCCAGATAAAGAAGAGGCAACAAGACGTGGTGAGGTTTCTGGAAGCCAATCGTATYGAGTTTGAAGAGGTGGATATCACAATGTCAGAGGAGAAGAGGCAGTGGATGTATAAGAACATTCCCGAGGACAGGCAGCCCGCGCAGGGCAACCCGCTGCCGCCACAGATATTTAGTGATGATCGGTACTGCGGAGTAAGTAGCTGCTGCGGTCACCAACTCACTGCGTACTACTAGTGGTGCCCTGTTTGCCATTTAAAACGTCAAGATTTGGGGTAAAGATTTATCTAGTAGTGTCTGAATTAATGCTGACAGCTTGCAGAGGTAGGAGCAGGTAATGTACGTTAGTGAAAATTGAGATAATTCATCCTTAAGTCCTAATGTTTTCAGTTAGTGGATTTYCCTGCAGAGGAACAAGACTTGGGGCTACCATGTACTTCCTGTGCAACCCATGGATGGTCACGTCCTTTGTGAGACCACCTGCATCTGAGGTTTCCTGGATTTGCTGCTGCCTTTTTCTAACCCAAGTGTAAAAATTCAGCAGGGAATCTTGGGCACCACCCATGAGATTGCTGTCTGGACTGAGTTGCATTGTCGCTGAAATTTAGCCTTCACAGAATCGCAGAATCACAGAATGGTTAAGGTTGGAAGGGATCTCTAGAGATCATCTAGTCCAACCTTCCCATTCAAGCAGAGACACCCAGAGCATGTGGCATAGGGTGGCATCCAGGCGGGTTTTGAAGACCTCCAGGGAAGGTCTTCTCTCTTCAGAAGAAGCCTTCCCTCTTCTGCTGCCATACGGTTAATTGCATCTACAGTCAGAGAGCCTTTATRCAGTTAGAGCCTCTAGGATAAATGGAAACTCTCTCTTCAGAAAGTAGGATAGTTTTATTTTTCCCATAAAGTAAAGGAGTTTGAGAGTTGTCTTCATCTCCTGAAAGACTGCTAAGTGTGAGAGTCTGATGGACATCAGACAGCAATCTGATGGATGGGCAGATGTCTCTGCTGGTGTGCTGAGGTGTAGTAGCTTTTCTATCCACTAGTGCAAGCTGAGGCACCAGCCTTTGGCTGATGTGTTGAGAATGGCACCCTAGAAGTGTTTTATTGTCCCGCTTAGCCAGTATGGTCTGCTGCAGTTCCGAGTCTGTGGCACTGCCATAGTTTGGGAATATCTTCCCTGAACTTGGACTCATCTTTAGCAAAATACTGTAAAAAGGTGAGAACTGGGACTTGGTCACCTTCATCAGCCTTGATGAAGTCAAGGCTGTCAGGCTGCAGCCTCGTGGCTCCCCCGTCCTGTGGGGGGCAGGTGTGGGGTACCCGATAGACCGACTGCAGGTGCGATGTGGTGCCCACCCCGGCACATCAGGGAGCGAGGGGGTAGCGCTTGTGTGTGAATCCAGTGGGAGGTGAAATAGGGAAGCATGTCCCTGGGGTTATAATAGCTAAGTATAACAACTAAATGGCTAAATAGCTAAAATCTTTGGTGGTTGAGCTGCTGTTTCTTCCCCTTTTCAGCATCTTTTCAGCTTTTCTTCATAGCATGTTTTAACTCAGTCTTAGAAAACCTGTTAATTGCTGTTTGGAATTAGCCAGGCAGAAGATGTCATGCAACATGGAGATGATCTCATTAATCTGCCTGCTTAGCTGGTAGCTGTTTTGGTTGAGCAGAGGTAATCCTATTACTAGACCTCCCTGTGTGAACATCTTGAAAGAACAAACCTACTTTGAGAAGAAGCTGTATATTTTCTAGGGTGAGGGAGGAGGCACATGCAGGAGCTTTCCTCAGTTACTAACTGGAGGATAACTGGGAGTTATCCTCCCAGCACAAATAATGAGGCTCTTAGGTAACAGAGTTGAGACAAAACATTAGGCAGGAGGCAAAGGAGGTCAGCTCTGGAAAGTGGGGTAGAATATTGCAGAGGAGCTAGATGAAGTAAGCACACACTGCACGTGTCTTCTGCTCTTGTGATTTTACATGGAGGTCTTTTAGACGTTTTTCTTGACACAAATATTTCACACACACAAAAAAAAATCATTATTAAATAACTTAAAAAAAATACCCAGAGATTTCTGTCAACTGAATTAGTGAAAATTGTACCTTCTGGTTTCTGATTTGTGTCCAGGCAATTTCTAAATCCAATTTGCTCTGTTCACAAAGGGCTGTCTGTTTTTCTGCCTGCCAATTCTGCAGTCTCACCATGTTACCAGGAAACTACCTATATACTCATTCTGGCTTATGCATTATTACTGACAGTCCAAATGGGTCACATCCTTTGTTGTTTCTCCAGATACATTAAGGCTAGGTAGAGAAAAGCAAATTAGGTGCACTTTTTATTTTGTTATTTCAAGAGAGATTCACAGAAATATGGCATGCCAGCCAAAATAGACTATTTTGTGCTCACAGCCATACTGTTCTTCTGTGTTAGGAGAAGCAGTGATGGCTGTGGGGTTTTTCCCCACTCCATCTCTTCCTTAGTAGAAAATCTCAGCAGTGTGCTCAGGGGTATTACCTGAGAATAGAATTTTCTGATTAGAAAATTATCATTTGAATGATCACTTATCAGACAGTAAGTGCACATTAGAGGAAGTTCATCTTCAGTCTTAAACATACAGAACTGGCTGGTTTCAGCTATTTGATTTTGTGATAGCTTGTTGGGGGGGGAAGAGGTGAAAAAAAGATGACCAGTGCTTCCTGGTTCACAAAACCAAATGTCTTACACCCAGGATGAGGGATCCTGCTTGTATCAAAGAACAGCTCCGTGTCATGATACACGAGCAAGAYCTTCAAATTTGGTCTGAGTTGATGTAATCACATCATTAATCTGTCTTCTCCTTTTCTCAGTCTTTGGAGACCTGCTCCCTGTTTTTTCAGTAAGAGGTTCTGCTAAAGGAACTTTGATATACCGTGCTCAGCAAGAACCGTTCACAAGATAGATAAGAGCTGTGATCCCAGAAGACAAATCATTTAACTGATAACCCAGTGTTGTGTGCTAGCACCAACACTGTGATAACTTACATATTTTGTGCCTTTGCAATMTGCTGTTTCATCATAGTGACATTGCTGTAACATTGCAAGCGTGAGGAAAGAGTCTCCTGAAATAATCACAGGGATCTTGCTCTATGTAGTGCTGTGTAAGAGTAAGGAAATCTCAGTGTAGGTGCTAGAAAGGAACTCTTGCACACTGCAGAAGCAAAGTAAATCTGAAATGGTTTGGAAAGGACGAGAAACTGCAGAGCCATCTTCTTCAGTAGGAACTAGCCATCATTTTCAACTCTGAAAGAATTTTTATTTAACTAGCAGTCTAAAGCCTTTTGACTCAGAAATTTTACAGTTTATAGACATCATGTAACATCAGCTAAAGGTTTGTAAATGAGACCTTCATTTAAGGCTTTCTATCTTTCATATAGCAGCTTTAGCACTTCCTGCTACAGCTAAAAGCARCTGTGAACTGTTTCCAGCTCTCTACTTAGATCAAAGTAACTAAAAAATAGATGGCTTGTTTGTAATGCTCTTTCAATATTTAAGGAAATCCAAGTCATGCGTCTCTGAATTGATAAAGACAGAACTTTTAAGAGTCAGGGTGACATTTGGCACTTCTGTTATGTGTTGTGTTTTAAATCCTTTCTCCAAGAGATTGGTGTTGTGCTCACAGTGACAAAAAATGTCCTTATTAGGTGGGCCAGTCTGTATTCACCACTGTTTTAACAACTGAGATACTGTCTTGAAGAACTGCATTATTCTGTTGACTATCTGCTGCTTGGCTATTATAGATTTGTCAGCCTGGGACAGTACAAAAGCCTCTGATGACTCAATTTTAAGCCTTTTTCTTTCTTATTTATATTTTTTTTATTTTTATTTATTTTTAGAAGCTCTCTGTGTGGCCTGCTGACAGCAGGATTCTTTTTATTTCCCTTACCAGAGCGTAAATTGACACTTTAGGGCCATATTAAATTGTATCATTTTTTCAAATAAATTTCACTTGAGTCCTTGTGTACAGTAATGAGGACAGCAGGTCCTGTTTTGGTGGAAAAATGGAGATTGTGTTTGGGTTTTCACTATCTAAACCCTTTGCTTTCAAGGTTACAGAAAAAAATTCTGGATGTGCCAGTTCCCACTGTGAATTTATGTGCACCCATTCACCTCAGTGATTTTGCATATGAGTTATTCAGATTATTCTAAAGCATTCCTGGTAGGATACACCATAGTACCAACAATTCAGTATTTTACAGGTTATAAACACTATTTAAAAGTAGTAATTACTTATTYTGCTTACAGCTTTTATCAAGATCACGGAAGATCCAGGTAGATGCAAAGAGCACCACAGATTCAAATGTCAGGGCCACGTTCACAAGGGAATGTGGCACGGTGCCAAGCAGGGAAATGTGTTGATTTGGAGCATGTGGCTTCCAGGGCTTCCTGGGAATTTGCAGTCCCAGGCTGGGACTCCAGCTTCTTCACGCTGTAGTGAGAAGCCATAGATGAATATGCAGCATATAGAGCAGTCAGAGCACTGAGCATGGAAAGCTTTTAAAGCAGCAGGAAGTTCTGGGAACCGGGTCTGTGCCTCATACTTCCCTCTCCAGCTGTATCTGAAATCTCTACAGCTGAGTTCACCACCCATCTAGGACTAGAAGTGGACCCTRGATCTTTTGGAAGGCTGGAAATCTCCACTTCTCTAATTATAACCTTGCAAAACTGACTCTTAGAAGCAGTGGCAGTTTTGTATGCAGAAAGTTTAGCACTGATTTGGGATTGCCTGAAATTTAGGCCAAGGAACATGCAAAGGAAATCTGTTCCCAGGTGCGAGTTTGATCTGAGGAGTAAATATTTACATAACAGGCTGACTTTACTTTTTTCTTTCTTTCTTGGAAGCTGCTCAGGAGGGTTAGAGTGAGCCCTGGTAGACTGCCTAGTGGGCAGGGCAATAGGCGCAGAGATACGAGATATTTATTGTCTGTCCCTGAAATGCAATATATGGATATCACTTCCATCAGAACAGCAAAGGCCTATAGACAAGGAAGAGGCAAAGCTGAAAGGGGTGCAGTGTTCTCAGGAAGCTATTCAGTACTCTGGCAATCGCTGCGGCACTACTACCTATTCCTCTACCCTGTGAAATACCAGTCTCTCTCTTTTTTTTTTTTTTTTTAAGATCATGAAGAGAGTCCATTTCTTAAAGAAAATGATATTTTTT